AACTTAGCAGAGGCTTGAACAGTTTCTGCTACTTGTTCCTCCCAATGCCGTGGGCATTTTCAGGAGCCTGCCCCCTTTGCTGACCAGGGTGATTTGGACAGCACTGATTTCATTGGAAATGCAGGGTGTTTCCTTACAAACGTGCCACCCATTTCACTAAGCCTGTTGCAGAGCCCAGAGCAGGAGGTTGGTTTGCCTGTGCTTGGGCAAACAACTGTGGTGCAAGCTTGGTGCATGCACAAGCACAGCATCCCAGTGCTGCAGGTGGGGGCTGTGTGGCCTTACACCCAGCTGATTCATTTGTCTCCTCCTCTGCCTGTAAGAACCAAATCTTCCCTGTGTGTTGGAGAAATGACCTGCAGCATCCTCCTGCTGTGCTGGGGATGGGGGAGCTGCCCATGGGGGAGGCCCATGGTCCTTGTAAGGACTTTACCCCCCCCCAGAGCAGCCCTTCATCATCCTTGAGATTTCTGAGCTGTCCATGGGGAGGCTCAGCACTGGAATGGATCCACGGTGAGATCCAAGGGCAGGAAGTGACTCAGTGGTGCTCCAAGCAGGCGGGTGAAGGCTTGATGCAACAGTGCTCCTGGGGGTGCTCTGTGCAGGCTGGGCTGTGCTGATGAAACACTCAGCACCTTTCTGGCAAGCTGCCTCCAGCCTCTCACCTGAAAGCAGGATCTCCTTTAACAGCAGATGGGGGATGTTGTTGCCACCGTGCCAGGTCTACAGCTGTGCTCGTGGGTTTGGGAGCAGAGCAAGAGGGCACAGAGAGAGGCAGCAGCATGAGGAGGTGAATGGTGCCCTATGGAGCTGGTCCCCACCACCCTGGAGAGCCTGTGCTGGGGTGTGCAGTGACCATGAGCAGGAGCAGTGTCAGGGCTGAAAACATTCCCAGTGGAGCAGAGGGGCTGGAGCTGCTCCTCAGAGCAAGCAGCTGGTTTCCCTTTTAGGGTCAGAGGCAGGCACAAACAATTTCACGCAGATTCCAGGACCCATAATGGTTCTGGAAAGCCAACGGGAACAAAAAGCGTTCTCCTCCTCCTCTGACCTTGGAGCGTGTTGAGGACCATCTTCCAAAGCCTTGGCCCTGGGCAGTTTCATCCTTACATGGGGAACACTTGCCTGTCCCAGCAAGGTTGTGCTGTCTGTTCTGTTTAGGTGTAAGCTGCAACCACACGAGCAGTGCTCAGAGCAACCCAGGGCAGAGAACAGGCAGGAACCCAACAGCTAAAGGCAGGTCTGTTCCTGTGTCCTGGGAGGATTTAGTGTTTCCCTAGGAATAGCCTTATGGGCTGCTCTGGGATCACTTGGTGCAGCAGCTGGTTGTGACCTGACAACAAATCCCAGCCTGGTGGGAAGCTGCCCAGGGTTGTAGGTTCACCATGTACATGAGATGTCTCCCTGGAGGAGTTCCCTGCAGCAGGAATCATCTCAAAAGGGAGGTGAAATGCTCCAGTGACTGCGTGCAGCAGAAAGCCTGGCCCTGGACACTCTGTGCTGCCTCCTTTGCATAATAGCTTCCCAGTTTATGGACACTCAAATGAATGTATTCATCTCCTGGGGCTGTTGCTAAGCCACCTGCTGTGTTGCTGTGGACAATGACACCAGGGTGGTGTTAGGTGCATGTTACTCTCTAATTAGAAAGTGGACTGGGCTGGGTGTCCTTGACAAATTGCTGACCTTTCCCATACGTGAAGCTATTCTGAGCTCTGTTCCAGCCTGATCAGATTTGCATCCCGGAGCACTTTAAATGTTGTTTGTGAGAGGGGCTCTTGTTCCCAAAGCTGTTCATGGGCACAGGAGAGGAACTGGACTTCCTTTCTTCCATGAGCACGGCTATATCTGTCAAAGGGAAAGGCTAGGCAGCTGGCAGGCATATATCTGTTGCTTATTTTTGCCCTCAGACAGCTGGGAGAATACCCCACACCCAGCTCCATTGTCCCCATGTATGAGGGACCTGCGTTGCTCCTTGCCCCACAGGGACCGGAGCCATGCAGTAATGGGCAAGCAAACCCTCTCTTAGCAACTGGAATCCCATCATTTCAGGGCAACACCTTGGTTAGCATTTGAAGGCGTTACTTACGTCACCCTTGATCACTGCTAATGTTTACAGGGCAGGGCAGACTGCGAAGTAGGATGAGTACATGTGAATTAGCACATAGTAACTGCCTGTATTGAGACTTCTCAATGTGAGCCTCAGTGAAGGGGTTTGTAAATGAGTTTCATCACCAATGGAGGCAATTTCCAGGTTCCTCACCACAATCACAATAAGAATTGGGGGCTTTTGTACTCTTTCTTTTGTCCCACCTCCCTCTTGTCCCTGAACTTGGTCTCAGGCACTGCTGTGTCCTGGTGGGGGTGTGTGAAGATGCAGAGTTTGCTTTGGCACTGCACAGGGCTTTGACACCCCTGCCCAGCACTGCATGAGACCAGAACAAAGAGAGCAAACAGCTTATCTAGTACAAATAACCCCGAGCAAACTTCCTGGGGCTGTTCCGTTTCTTCTGTGGAAGAGGCATCCTGGAGTCTGATCCCATCCACTCTGACGGCAGTCTCGGCCACGTCATGCTCTTGGGACTTGCTCTGCATCAGCCAAGGGCTCTGACTCCAGAGCCTGAGAACAGGAGCTTGGCTCGCACAGCACCAGCAGGTATAGGTGGATTATGGGGAGAAACTGCTCCAAGTGGGGGTGAGCAAGAGTCTTCCACGTTATCATATGGTTTTCGCTTCCTCTGTGTCGTGCATCCTGCGAGGGACCTCCAGTATGGCCGGTGAGTGCTGGTGGAGAGCATCAGTGGGCTCAGGAGTGCCAGCAGCCCTTGGTGGTGGTGGAGGAGATGAGTCCTGGCACTGCATTTGGGACTGAAGTGTTCCTGTCCTGTCACTTTTAATCCTGGGCTTGATGATGGAGGCAGCTCAGCAGCACTGGGAGAGCAGGTCCTGAGCACTCGCTGTGGAGCTGGTGCTCCCACCCATGGCGTTCCTGTGTTTGCTGGCACTGGGTCCCAAGGGTGCACGTGGAGCTGGGGACAGCATCTGCCTCATCAGGGTGGTTTGTGGTTCAGCACTGGCTGGGTTTATCTGCTCACCTCCTGTCCCTGTGACACAGGGAAGTGCTGCCCCTTGTTTTGAGCTTGGGGCCTGGCACTCACAGGTGACCGGTGTCAGGCACAGCAGTGCTCTGTGTCACCAGGAAAATCCAAGCCTTCTCCATTGAAGTTATTTTGCCTTCCCTTGTGTTTTCTCACGTCCTCTGACCCCCTGTTCCAGAACCACGGAGATAAAGCACAGCCCATTGAGCAAACACGGCGGCTCCCAGCTCCAGCGGTACCGTCGCTCCCAGGGTAGGAGTGCTCATTAGAGGCCCTTTTATTACAGACACACCTTGGAAAGTTCCCTTCAGCAGGGCTGAGGAGGAGGAGGGTTATTAATTTGATTCCATTCTTTGCCAGGGAGAAAGGTCCCCGGCAGCTTCAGGGAGTGAAGGCAAGTGGGGTGGCTGAGGAGTGCTCAGGAGCCAGGCAGGGTGCTGGGGGGGGCGGGGGGTCAGCACCTCATGGGATGCCCCAGAGGGAGGGCAGAGCTGGGCAGTTTGGCACCCATCAGCTGGCAACAGCCTGGGGCTGCTGCTTGGGGGCACTGGAGGTGCAGCCATGGCCCCAAGGGCACGATGCTCACAGGGGCACCCCACGGAGCTGCTCCTGCAGCCGCAGCCCCGCGCAGCAGCTGGGTCCCCAGTGTCTGAAAAGGGACTTTGTTCCCCCTCCGTTGGTCACGTAGCCATGTGGGAACACTGGGTTTATTCACCACCAGGCCTATCAGCACATACCAGGCTTGACAACAGCTGGGAGCTCTGTGGCTTGACCAAGAATAGCCCTGGGGAGCTGGCGGCCGTGAGTCAGAGCTGTCTGGATCAGCTTCTGTCCCGGAGGCTGCCTCCCAGCCTAAGGGAGATGGCCAGGGAGGCACGGAGCTGGGCCATGAGCTCTGTGTGCCATTAAGTGCTAGGTTGAGCCACAGCAGCTCTTTCTGAAGTGGGTGGGTTCACGAAGAAAACTGCAGCGTGTGGCACTCTGCTGCTGATGGCTCCCATGTAATTCCACGGGCTTGTCTGCACTTGACAGCAACCCGTGTTAACGCAGGGTGTGATTTTGCAAGTGGAAAACTCCATATTTAGGAATAACCAGGCTAAAGCAAACAGAAGGAAGATCCTCTTGTTCTGGAGATCGTGCTCCAAAGGGAGGGAAGTGGTTCCTTAAACCTCTTGTCTCAGAGGGAGACCGGGAGCAGTGAGCGAGGCCTGACCTGCACGCAGCACCTCTGCTGCTCGTGAACCACCCGTCCTCCTGAGCGCTTTCCCCTTGAAGAGTGGTTGTAGATGGAGCTGGGATAGCTGGGCACAGCCTGTGGGGTGCCTGATTCCTGCCCCCCTGTGGAGCAGCTGCCTGGAGAAGCTCCAGAACTGCAGTTCCTGACAGCCCCATTGGGCAGAGCATCGGCTCCCAGGCTGGCAGGAGGGATCTTGCTGTTGGGCCAGGGCCATGCTGGTGTCCTGGGAAGCAGGTCTCCCTGCAGGTGGCTGGCTCTTGGATGTGACAGCGTGTGCATGGGGCTGTTTTCAGTGCCAAACCTAAAGCTTCTGATGCATGAAAATGGTCTCTTTTGGTCCTCATTTACGCCGTGCTTCCCAGCAAGGAGGCAGACAGCGAGGAGCTGTCTTCTGGCTGCATGCTCGAGTGTCAAGGTTTCTCTGAGTGGTGCTCCAAGTGTTGAACTTGAGTATAAACCTAAAGCAAGGCTCATCCCAGGCCCTGATTGTGCACAGGCTGTTTTGGAGGCGCACACAGGCACGGAGCAGGCGCAGCTCAGGGCTGTGGCCTCCTGGTGTTGGCTCAGTGCAGGGGTTCACGGTCCTTGTCCTATGGGGATGGCAGGGCTGCACAGGGACATCTCAGGCAGCGTAAGCTGATACTGACCCAGCATCTCTGCTGATCTCTTAGCAGGTGAAGGAGGCCCTCAGACTGGCACCATGACAGAGTGCTTTGACTGCGACAACTGCAAGGAGTCCTTGTATGGGCGCAAGTACATCCAGATGGACAACGGCCCCTACTGCATCCCCTGCTACGACGCCCACTTTGCCAACACCTGCGATGAGTGCAAAGAGCTGATCGGCCACGACTGCAGAGTGAGTGGGGGACCCCGTGGCTGGGCAGGGGGGTCCCTGGGTCATGGGTGCCCTCCTCACCCCGCTCTCCTCACAGGAGCTGTACTATGAGGATCGCCATTACCACGAGCACTGCTTCCGCTGCTTCCGCTGCGACCGCTCCCTGGCTGATGAGCCCTTCACCTGCCAAGGAGAGGAGCTGCTGTGCAATGACTGCTACTGCAGCGAGTTCTCCTCCAAATGCATTGCCTGCGAGAAGACAGTCATGCCAGGTAGGAGCAGGCACTGCAGTTGGCTCCTGGTCCCAGCAGTGGTGGGGCTGGGGGTCCGACACTGGGGCAGCAAGGGAGAGAGATGAATTTCTGTTCCCTTGGCACTTTGCTTGTCTGCCAGGCTGCGATCACCACAGCAGCCCTTTGTGGCTGCTCCTTTGCTTCCATGAGGAAGTGAGCTGGGGGGGGGAGATAACAAAGGGTTTCCTGGGTATTTCCTGCTGCGTGCTGAGGAGGAGAGAAGGAATGACTGAAGGTGTGTGAGCGTCTCTGGAGGTGGCCTGAGGCAAAGGTGTGTCTTTGCTTGGCCATTCTAGCACCATCTTCACATATAGGTTACAACAGGCATCTCTGCCTATGTGCTGGTGCTGGGGGCATGTTCCTGCAGCCCTCCCCTTGGGGCTGTGGGGTGGGCAGGGTGTCCCTGTGCAGCTGCCTGCAGGCAGGCACAGAGCTGGGTGTGCAGGGCCACTTCACAGCACCCGTGTGTGTGTGTGCAAGTGCTGCTCCCTCCCGTCACCGTGAGCTCTCTCTGCAGGATCCCGGAAGCTGGAGTACAACGGACAGACCTGGCATGAGCATTGCTTCATCTGCAGCAGCTGCCAGCAGCCCATCGGGTCACGCTCCTTCATCCCAGACAAGAAGGATTATTACTGTGTGCCCTGTTACGAGAGCAAGTTTGCTCCTCGCTGCACTCGGTGCAAAAAGGTGCGTGTGACCCAACAGCCCATAGTCCCCCAGTTCTTGGAGCTAGGGGTATGATCCCTGCTCCTGTCTGAGCCTCACCAGAGGCTCCAGCACCCCCATGTGTCACCAGTGTGTGCTCTCTCCCTGCAGACCCTGACCAAGGGAGGAGTGACTTACCGGGATGAGCCGTGGCACAAGGAGTGTTTCGTCTGCACAGGCTGCAAGACCCCCCTGGCTGGCCAGCAGTTCACCTCCCAGGATGACAACCCCTACTGCATCAAGTGCTTTGGGAACCTCTATGCCAAGAAGTGCAGCGCCTGCACAAAGCCCATCACAGGTGAGCAGAACAGCTCTGGTGACAGGGCATTTCTGCGTGACCTACCTGGCCTGGTTCAGGCCATCTGATGTCCAGACATGTGGTGACTTCTCTGGGTGCACCCTCTTGTGTGCATGTGTCACCCACATCCATATGATGCTCGTACACGTCTCCACCATGCAGGCTTGCTCAAGGGTCTCCAGGCACTTTAAGCCTCCCAGGGACAAATGCTGGGGAGTGCAAAGCACCCTGAGGCCTATCCCCCACAGAAACAACTGGAGCCACCTTCTGAGGAACCCCATGAGAGAGAATCTCTTTGTTGCAGTGGTCCTGTGATCACTTGTGTCCCTTTATCTGCATCTTCCAAAGTGGTTAACTGTGCCCCTTGGGAGGAATTCCTTCTGCCCAGGGTTAAAGGCTCCCAGAATGACCTCTCTCAGTGTGATCTTGTGTCTCCAGCTCTCCTTGTTTGAGGCTAGTTGCCATGCCCTGTGGAAAGATTGCTCATAGACACGGAAAGCCAGAGACTTCTAGTTGTAGCTGGGGCAGCAACTGCTGCAGGGGAGCCTGGACCTGTTGTACCTGCCTATGACAGGGGAAGCAGAGGGTCCTCTTCTGCAGAAACCCTTAGGAGGGTCTGTCCTCCTTCCTCTTCTCCTCCACTTGACCTTTCCCTCTGCAGCCCATGTCTCTTGCTGCTTGGGCAGGCAGGCAAAGGCATTCACCAGCTGGGGACTCAGAGGATGGCTCCAGCTGAGGACCCGGCAGCTCCCGGGCACATCGCTTCCCCTCTGGTCCTTATCGGTTTGTCCCAGTCCCTGGGAGAAGGGGGTCCCAGCCCACAAGTCCAGCCCCTGCTGGAGGAGGAAGGAAGCTGCCACAGAGCCTCTGCAGGAGCCTGGGCTGGGGCTGGTGGCAGGAGAGCTCCTCCTGGGACTCTCCTGTCCTTGCAAGCTCCTCTCCTCCCCTCCAGGAGTGCTGGTTGGCTTTCAGGTGCATTTGACACTGGGGTGGTGTGGGTGCAGCACAGTGGGTGAAGACCTGACTCGGAGAGGACCAGGCAAAGGCTTGCTCTGTGGGGGAAGCTCATCCCAGGGGTTCTAACACTGCTCTCTGCCCCTCCTGCAGGCTTTGGTGGTGGTAAATACGTCTCCTTTGAGGACCGTCACTGGCACCACAACTGCTTTAACTGTGCCCGCTGCAACACCTCGCTGGTGGGGAAAGGCTTCATCCCTGACAACGACGAGATCCTGTGCCGCGACTGCAGCAGCGACCTATGAGCCTCCGAGGCCACCGTGGGGCAGGGGCCTTCTCTATTCTTCAGGGTCTTTGTGCCAGATCACCCCACCACCACTGCAGGCGCAGGGCACAAGGCACAGGAGATGGGGGCTGACCCCGAAGCACGGTGTGTCCAGAGGGTTCCTGTGCCCCTCCTGAAGGCTAGAGTACGCTGTGCTATGGCTCTGTGCAGAGCCAAAGCTAAATAAAGTTGAAAAGGAGCTTCAAGATCCCCTCCCCTCCATTATTTACTCTTTCCTTTTGCTTCCTGTCTGACCAGGCACAAGCTGAGCCCAGGGCCCCAGCTGAGCAAAGGGCAGCAGCAGCTTCAGCATTGGGCTGCTGGATCTGCAGGCTGGCAGCATGGATTTGCTCCCCTGGCTCGCTGCTGACTTCTCTCTTTTCCCCATGTGCTTCCCTTGCTCTGTGTGATTCAAGGCAGCAGCTCCTGGTCCGTGCAGCTTGGCCTTGCTGGCCTGCATCGTGGATGGCTTACGTGTGGCTGCCCTGTGGTGACCTGGGCATGAAGGGCATGCTGTGGAGGGAGCTTAGGGGACACCAGGCTGGAGCGTGGCCAGGAGATGAGCATGTGTCCTGCCAGATGGGAGCCAGCTCTGCATTGCTGTAGCCACCTCGCTGTTTGCAGGCCAGCCCCTTTGCTCTGCTCCATGGAGGTGCTCTCAGGTGTGGATGAGGAGCTGGGATTGCTCACAGGTACAGGGGGTTCAGCCCCATCTCCTCCCTGCCCGTTCCCATCTGTGCTGGGATCTCCCAGGGCTGCCTCTGCAGTGCCTGAGCTCCAGTGCATGGAGCAGCCCCCGAGATGTGCCTGGCTGGGCCCTGGAGGAGGGTGTGCTGAAGGCTGGGAGCACCGCGGGCTTTACCCCTGCTCCATCCCTCCCATGGGATGGGGATCCCCTTGCTGAGCCCACTGCCAGCAGCACAGGTAACACTGCAGGCCTCTGTGGGGCTGTGGCTGTGCTCAGTGGGAGCACTGGAGGGGAGGGACTGGGAATATGGAGGGCAGTCAGGGTGCCTGCAGCCTGCCAGAGCTGTGTCCCCCCCTGCGATGGGTAGAGTGCAGCAGCTCCCCTCATCCATCACCGAGTCCCAAAGCAGAGGTGGCACCTGGGCTGCCCTGAGCCTTTGCATCCCCCAAGTCCCTGCGCTGGCCCTAACTGCAAAATGGGACCTCTTGAGCCATCCCAGACCCACACAAGGGCTCGAGCCATCCTTGCCCCAAGGCTGAGCTGGCCCTGGGCCCCTTAAGTCCCCCCTTCAGCAGGATGCTCCTGCCTGCCTTGTCCCTGCATCCCTTTTGCTTCTGTCTTGCTGGGGCACTTCTGCTGACCCTGCTTTCCTGCTCAGACAACCGTGTGCTTCCCTGAAAGCATCTTCTTGTGTTTGGGTTTTTCCCTTTTGTACTCTTCTGTCATCAATATCTGTCATTTTATAACCAACTGCAGGATGAAGGGGCAAGACCCCCCCGCAGGCTTCACTTAGGAACAGACAAGCCTGTTCAAATGTTATGCATGTTGAAGTGTTATTAACTGTGTATTCAGACCCTTGTTGAACCCTTGTTTGAAAGCTTTGATGCAGGCAAATCAGAGTTTGTGTGTCTGCTATTCTGAGGAGCTTGGAGCAGTCTCAAGAAGGAAGTATCCTAAACCTCAGCCTCCTGTGTATTTCCTATGGCTTTATACAATAAACCCTTTTAGTGATGCTTGTTCTCATGTGTTTCTCCAGCAGCAGGCACAGGGCAGAGCTCTCAGCCTTGTCCTCACCCCTTACCCTGCACTGGGGATGGTGACCTCCTGCAGACCACGTCCAGCATCAGTACCAGCCCTGTGGGTTATGGCAGGGAAGCAGCAGCTCCCTCTTCCCACTGTGGGTTCCTGTGTGTCCGTGCTGGGCAGGCCGTGGCCGATGCCTCCAGGCTGGCTGCTGGGTCAGGCTCAGCATCCTGCACTGGTCTGGATCACTGTGATGGGGAATCCCATCCCGCTGGGCACACAGGCTCCCTGCCCCTGCCATACGCACTCCCCCATCCGCACATGGAGGCTCTCGGGAGGAGGTTTGGGGGGGAAGCTGCTGTAATCTCCATTGGGATAACAGCGGGCTCCTCCCGGCAGCCTGCCCCGGAGCGCTGCGTGCTCGTTCCTCGCTTACATCAGCCGGGGAGCCGCTGATTCCCCAACATCTGAAACTGTTTTCCACAGATTCCTTTACATTTACTAACGGATGCCACAGCTTCCTCTGGGCCTGCCCTGGCCCCCAGCGCCCGCTCGCTCCCCTGGTGCTGCTCCAGCGGACAACGAGGGCACGGGCACATTCCTGGCTCCTTCCAAGGCTCCTGCTCTGGCAGCAGACGCGCTTGTTCAAGGAGGAGCTTTGCTGCTGTAGCTGCCCCGCGCCCGGTTCTGCTTGGCTTCAGAAGGTGAAGGAGCAGCCTCAGCCCTGCTGCAGCGGGAGCACCGCAAGCCCTTGCTCCTGCAGCGCTGGGCCCGGGGATTAACCACAAAGGGTTCCTGTACAAAGGGCCCCCGGGCTCCTCTTTCAGGCAGCCTCAAGAGCCTCACGTTTTTAGCCAAAAAAGGAAATGACCCAGCTGCGCAGGGCCTGGAACATCTGGATTTTATCCCTGTCATGAATGGGTCAGGGCTGCGCAGGGCCCAGAGCCTGATTTACAGCAGGGGGAGGGTGATGTCATGCACAAACATCCCCCGAGATTCCCAGAGTGCGGCTCTGCAACAGGCAGGAAAAGGGGATTGAGCACAGGCTGGGGTGAGGTGGGAGCAGGGGGACTCGCTGGGACTCCAGGGCTGGGGTGGAGAGAGAGGCCCCAGCATTAAAGCTGCTCCTGCCTGCGCCTGGGCAGGAGGGAAGGAAGGGCTGGTTCCAGCTCCCTGCTGGTGGTTGCCCCATTCCAGCCGTTGTTCCTTGTCTGAGCATCTCCCATGGAGCATGGACCTCTGCATCCCTCCGGGTGACCGGAGCGGCATGGACCAGCACCTCCAGGTGATGGTGCTGGGCTGGAGGCTGGTGGCAGAGCCAGTGCTCCAGTGCGAATGGCTCTCCTCTGTCTCAAGTCGAGACAGGGCTGTGATTAGAGCCAGGCTGGAGCCTGCAGGCATCCCCCAGGTCTCTTCTGATTGTCCCTATGTCCCGTAGTGAAGGTCCTGAGGAGGTGGGGAAGGAGCATCCCATAGGATTCCCTGCAGGAAAACTGTGCTGTCCCTCCTATGGGCACAAAGCTGCACCGAGGGGCACCAGGCACGGTGGGTGAGAGGAGCAGGGAGGTCACGCAGGGGCTGCTCTTGTCCCACCTTGACCCTCCTAATGCCAGCAGCCCCAAATAAAGAGGCCCTATGGCCTGATGGGACATTGCTGGCTTTCAGCTCCTTCCCTTCCCAGGGATGAGGTTTCACGCAAAGGGAAAGGGAAGAACACGAAGTTCAGAATCTTATCTCCCTCTTTATTTTTAGACAGGCATCCGTGAGGAGGAGCTGCCGTTCTCTGGGGCAGCCTGGAGGGTGATTAAAGGCAATACTGGTACCTTCAGTCCCGTGCTCTCTGCAGTGGGTTGGCTGTTCCCAGGGCACGGTCACGTTTGTCTGCCAGAATTAAGCCCAGTTCCTTGTTGCTTTTGGCTTCAAGTCATTCCCCGTCCCTGCTCGAACCATAGGGATCATGAGGTGCACGTTAACGCTAGCGGTGCAGCTGGCGGCCTCTGCTCGGCGCTCCGGGTGGAGCTGAAGGAGGCAATCAGCATCCAAGCGGAACCCAAGGCAATCAGCATCCAAGGCAATCAGCATCCAAGCCGGGGCTGCCGTGGGGGGGTTCCCACCGGGACCGGGTCACCCCAGCGCAGCCCTGCTGGGTGCTGCTCCCTGCCCTTGCCTCAACCCGGCTGCAGGGGGCGCTCCACGAAGCCGGGCGCTGCGGGTGCCGGCGGTGCCTGCGCGGAGCCGCCTGTGCCCTCCCTGGGGCTCGGCGCAAGGTGGAGGCAGGCCCCGGGGTACCGCGGGGTCACTGCGCAGCGCTGGCTCCCAGCACCGCCGCTGCAGGGGTGGGTGCACACCCAGAGGGCCATGGCAGGGAACGGAGCTGGTGCAGGGCCTGGAGCACAAGTGATGGGGAAGGGCTGAGGGACCTGGGGGGTTCAGTGGAGAAGAGAAGGCTCAGGGGGGACCTGATGGCTCCCTACAACTGCCTGACAGGAGGATGGAGCCAGGAGGGGCTGGGCTCTGCTCCCAAGGAACAAGGGATGGGACAAGAGGAACCGGCCTCAAGCTGCACCAGGGCAGGTTTAGATGGAGCTGAGGAACAATTCCTGCCCCGGAGGGTGCTCAGGCATTGGAACAGGCTGCCCAGGGCAAGTGCCACGGCTCAGTCAGCGGTGGCCGTGGGCAAGGGGCTGCTCCAAGGGGACTCCATGGGGGCTTCAGCCTGAGCCCTGCCCGGACCCTGCCGCAGTGCGGGGGCTGGGAACCGCTGCGGGTCCAGGTCTCGGCACCAGGGACCCTCTCCCCAAGGCCCCGGGGCCGGGGCCGGAACCTCCCTGCGGGCCACAAGGCCCAGCCGGAAGCTTCCGGTGCTGCACTGGCGGGAGCGGAAGAGGAAGAGGAAGGCGGCGGGTTCCGGTCGGGAGCGGGAGGATGGAGACGATCCTGGAGCAGCAGCGGCGGTACCATGAGGAGCGGGAGCGGCTCATGGACGTCATGGTCAAGGAGATGCTCACCAAGAAGTCCACGGTGCGTGCGGGGCCGCGGCCCCCTTCACCCGACCCCGACCCTTGCCCCTGCCCGCCCTCACCCTCCGCTCCTCTGCCCTCAGCTCCGCGACCAGATCAACTCGGACCACCGGACCCGGGCCATGCAGGACGTGAGTGCACCGGGACCGGCATAGGGACAGGGCTGGGGCCGGGCCGAGCTCTGCTTTGTGCTGCAGGAGGCTCGGCCCTGGCGGCATCGTTTGGGGTTTGCTTTTGTCTCTTAGAGGTACATGGAGGTGAGCGGCAACCTGAGGGACTTGTACGACGACAAGGACGGGTAAGGGCTGCCCGGGCACCGCCTCTGCTGGGGAGCGGCTGTGGCCGGTAAAGAACCGGGGTGGGGGGGGGCTCTTCAAACTCCATTGGAAATGCATGAGGGCGGGAGACCGAACCTGCTGGAGCGGGCCCCAGGCTGCACATGGGCCACGGCCGTGCTGGACACAGGCACCGTGTTGGGTCCCTGGGGTAATGGGGAGGCTCGGGGTTGCTGTGGAGGTTGGTGAGGGGAGGCTGCAATGGGATCAAACCGCAGCCCTGGAGCTGGGAGAAGGCAGTGTCAGTGTCGGGGTGGTTCCCCTTCCCGTGTAACCTGGCCCCCGTTCGTGTGCTCACAGCTTACGGAAGGAGGAGCTCAGCGCCATTTCGGGCCCCAATGAATTTGCCGAGTTCTACAACAGGCTGAAGCAAATCAAGGAGTTCCATCGGAAGCACCCCAATGAGGTGAGAGGCTCCCTGCTTTGTGCTCCCTTCTCCGCACCCCTGCAATCAGCAGGCTTTCCCTGCTGCTTTAATTGCCTTACTACACAATGCTGAGCACACTAAAACGCTGCTGGAGGAACCATGGTGAAGGGTAGGCAGTGCTGCAGGGGCAGTGTAAGCTGCTGGGCGAGCAGTGTGGGGAGAAGACGGGATGCTGATGTGTTCTCTGTGTGCTCAGGCACGCTTTGCTGCTGAGGTTTTTCAGCCTGTGCCCAAGTAATGGTGAGGAAACGCTTTGGGCACCTTGAGCAGGTTCTTGTTTGCAGCCTGTGATGCTTTGTGTGTGTTTTATCCTGGGGCTTCTGTAATCTCTGCCTGCTGTTGAAGATCTGTGTTCCAATGTCAGTGGAGTTTGAGGAGCTGCTGAAGGCCAGAGACAACCCCAGTGAAGAGGCTCAGAGTAAGTGTGTAGTTTTCTATGGGGCCAGTGGAAATGTGGTGCTTGGGAGGTGTTA